AAATTTACCACAGAAATGCTATGTGAAGTTAAGTCAACTATAAATGAAGGCATTCAAACTCTAAAGGCTGCAAAGGCACAGCGAATGTCCAAAGCAGTTCTAGCAAGAATTTGGTATCAAAAGGTGGAATGTTCTCAAGAGCTACGGCTCTCCTGAGATTCCAGCAAAAAACTCACTCCTAGGGCCCTCTTGAACTCTAAAACATCTCTTCCAGCTGCCCCAGTTACCAGATCTTTACATTAGACACCTTTCAGATTTCAGCAATGACATTGTGCCTTCTCAGAATAATGACAAAGTGCACATCACGGCAATATCTAACTCTAGCTTTCCCTCCCACCGCTAGCCCTCCTAGTCCAGAGCTGCTGGGAAACCAATCCTGGCCAGGCCCAGGATGGACTGGATCTCTCATTGTGTTAGCAGGTCACAGCTGAACTAAAGCTGAATTGAAAGCAAATGATATTTTCTGTGTGAGGCTTAGCCTCACTGTAGTGAAAACTCAGCAAAATACAGTAGTCAAGTTCAAGTTCAAGTTTTGGGAACTCCCATAAAAACCACATCAAAATATCAACAGTTGTCCTGGTTCTGCCTGAAGATGTCTTCCTTTGAACCCTTTTTATCTAGGAACATTGTTGACAGACCTTTCTGTATACTCTGTATTCAGAGTACTGAAGACAGGACGCTTTTCGTTGAAGAACAGAAATAGGTGTTTGACAAGTAAGCACAATCCAAACAGTTATTCTCTATCTCCTCCAAGAAAAAGGTAGCAGATTGGACAGAAGATCCCACCGACAGCATGCAGATTACAAGCTGCCAGGTAAACCGTGTTAAGCAATGTACTGTAACTAAGTAACTAACTAAACCCTCTGGTTTCTCTCTCTCTCAACCCCAAGACTTTTGTCACTTTAAATATATACTTCTTATTTATTTTTTGAAGAGACTTGCATTCTTGTTTTGTAAGTTATAGAAAATTACCTTCCAAGTTTATAAGTTGCCTAGTAGATAAAAAGGTCTCCCATATGTTCCTGAAGTTTGGGGTAATCCCAGTGTGAAAATCTGTAATTGCCTCGTATCTTAAATTTTTGTGCTGTTTTTGTTTAGACCATAAATTTAATTTGGCATCACCAGTCCTTGAAGTTCAAAGGCCTGGCACTATATTGCCTGTCTTATTCAGCCTCGGTCCAATAAGCATTTACTCACGTCAGGTTTCAGGTCTCTATCTCAGCCTCCAAGCCCATTACACTGTTTGTTCCTTAATATTTATAAACATAAAAATACAAATTTTATTGTCTATCCCTGTCCTGATCACTCTTTTTAAAGCCTCTACAATGCTTTTGTTTTAAATGTCTTTCTAAGAAAATTAGTATTAATTCTACCTTTATTGTAACTTCATTCTTCCCTTTTCTTCTCTCTTAAGTTATATCCAAAATAGGGGGGAGGGGGGGAGTTTCAATAATTGTTTCTTATTATTTTTTACTTGCATTTTAGTTACATATTTACTTCTGGAGAGCACCAACTGTAGTGAGATTTTGACAATAAGACTTGTTGTCCATTATCTGTGTTACTCCCGAATAGAAGACTGTAAATGCTGCTAGTTTTAATCTCCAGGAAGAAAATACTCAGGATAATTCAAGAGTATTTCAGACATAAAGAAAAATACAGGACCAATTTTAATTAAGGAACTAGATCTGTCAGATAGTAATTAACTGTTTTAAATCTATGGCTGTGTGAGAAAACATTGGTCACAATAATAATGTTATGCAAATCAAAATGACTGCTTCGGCTAGACAGATTTAAATTTCCAGATGTCTGCCACTATATAAATTTCACTGAGAAAAAAATTATATGCTAATCTGTATTCAGGTGATCTCTTGAAACATTGTTGGCAGCTTTAACCAAAGAGGAGGCAATCACAGAGAAAGACAGACAGGAGTAATGCCAATATTTAGGGAAGATACATCTGTCAAAATATGGGACACCTAATTATAAAAAACTGATTTGATAATAAAGTTATCTGGCTTTTAAAGCAATTACAGTTTAGACATCCTCTCTGATAATTCAATCTGTATCACCACAGGACATTTTCACTTTGACAACAGCTGCATACTATGTATCAATCCAAGAAAGGCTGAAGGAAACAACACCTGACTAGATTTTTATTCTTGACATAGTCATCATATGAAGGCTTCAAGCACAGGAGCCAACTGAAGGGAGATCTCATTTCTATTCAGTGTTTGGTTTTTTCCTAAATAAAGCAAAGAGTAAGAATTCTTTGCAAGCATACATGATCAGCATATAAAGTTGAGAATGTGGGAGCTACATGAAATGTACTATATAAGCAATGGGTTTTTTTAGATATATATACATATATATCCTCAGTGGTGCTGTTCTTCTTTGTCAAAGACCCGAAAAAGTTCTGCAGAAAAAATCATTCATATCTACATTTTCCGTAAGAACAATATTGTCACCAGTGTAGAGCAGGTAGCACTGACCCTTCGGATGGATCTGGGTAGCAGACCAGAGTTTTTTCCCTGTTGTTTGTGGGCTGGAGCAGATCGTTCTGTCCGTGTGTTTGCTGAGGGTTTGGCTGACTATGAAAGCACGAACATAAGCGCACAGTTTAATAGTCTGGCTTAAAAGGTCCCATGTGACCCCAGCTCCATTAACCACCGTTCCCAGCATTTCTGAAATGTAAGCTAGCGTCAACAGGGTCTAGATAGATTGATTACAGAGAGCAGTGGGTGTTTGAACTGAATGGTACTGGAAACAACTGAGGATGGCTAGCTGGCTATTCCAGCTGCAGCTTCACAGTATTTCAGTTCAACATTCAAGTCTCAGCCACCAGAGTCCCCCCGTGTGGCTCAGTTGGGGGTAACTGAGCATTGTGTGTGAATGTCTGACGATCAGTAATTTTAGCTGTCAGTCAGCAGTTCCAGGTGAAATTCCAAGCAGCCAACTGGTCGCTGAAATCACTTGCGTATTCACCAGATTACAAAACTTTTCAAGTGGTGGTCAGCTCAATGGATCTCACTTAGGGCAGTGATTTATTTGTGTGCAGCTACTATGGATCCATGATATAATGAAATATTGAACTGGAACCCAATCTATTGATTCCTCTTTGTAGTATTATCCATACTTTTTTCCATTATATATAAAAGCCCTCGGTTTATATCAAAGAATATAATGTTTGCAGTCAGCCTGGTTGCCACAATGTCTTGCCCTATAATCCAAATGGCAAATACTAATGTCTGCTGAGGATTTATTTTAAGGATTTATTTCACTGACTTCTTTCTTTCTTTATCTTATGTTTATTCCTGGGAAACAGAAAACGTCCACTTTTAAACATGACTTGCTCTTCATTAGTTATATTTAGGGTCATGCCAGGTCTTACCTATAGCACCCATTTCTTTATTTCACTGCAGACTAGCACATAACATATTCAACCAAAATTTCAATAGTTTATTCTACTGGGTCTGGCTGGAATGGAGTTAATTTTCTTCATAGCAGCCCATAAGTGCCATGTTTTGGATTTGTGACTAAAACAGCGTTGATTGATAGCACACCAGTGCTTTGGCTATTGCTGAAGTCCTTGCACAGCATGCAGGTTTTCATTTTCCCACTCTGCCCTTGCAGTGAGCAGGCTGGGGGTGAGCAAGAAGCTGGTGGGGGACACAGCTGGGACAGCTGACCCCAACTAATCAAGGGATATTGCATACCATACAACCTGATGCTCAGCAATAAAAGCTCAGGGAAAGGAGGAAGGTGGGACACTCATGGTTATGCCATTTGTCTCCCCAAGTAACGGTTAAGTGTGATGGAGCCCAGCTTTTCAGAGAGCAGCTAAACACCTGCCTGCCCACAGGAAGTAGTGAATTAATTCCTCATTTTGCTTTGTGTATGCAGGTTTGCTTTACCTATTCAACTGTCTTACCTATTAAACTGTCTTTATCTTGACCCAGGAGGTTTTGGCTTTTGGCCTTCTGATTCTCTCCCCCATCCCACCGGTGGGGAATAAGCAAGCAACTGGGTGGGCACATAGTTTCTGGCCGTGGTGAACCCACAGGTTGCAGAGATCGTTAAGTAAGTTTTGACTTCTAAGTTTTTAGTTTTAGTTACTGACAGACTAAAGTTTGATACCCGACTACAAAATTATTACAAAATAGCTAGCATTTTTTCACAGTTCCAGAGCATCTCATCCCATAAGATTAACGTGACAAACTCAACTTCCACATTCAGAAAAAGTTTTTAATCCTCAATATTTAAGAGTCAGAAAGAAACCCAAATCTCACACTTTTTAAACCTGCCTGCCTGGTATTTTGGTACCCATCAGCCACCACTTTGAGCGCTCAGAGTCGCCATCTGCCAGGCTGATATCCCTTTCTCCTGCAAGTTTCCTTTCCTTAAGCATTTAAGTGAACAAGCCTGTTTGGTTTTAGCCATCATCAATGGTACTTTATAGTTCTGCAGAGAGCCTTGCATGTAAGAGTAGACTGCGAAATTCCCACTCTGGCCACTGGGCTGACACCATGAAGCAAAGTCTGCCCGTCTCCAGCAAGGCCCAGGCCGGCCCAGGCCTGTCAGTGGACAACAGTCCTCCTCCATCGCCGCCAGATGCTGAGCGGCGGCCAAGGCCAAACCCACCCTCCCCTGCGCGCCCGCTGGGAGGGACGCGGCTGGGCCCCCGCTGGCTGAGGGGACGCGCACACACGGTTTCCCTCCGGGGCAAGGGAGGCTGAGGGCGCTCAGACAGACCGACCGACCGACCGACCGACCGACCGACGCGACCCCCCCCTGCGGCCAGCTCCCTCGGTGGTGGCAGGCCCCCGCCGTCCCCATGGAAACGGCCCGGTGGGCGGGGCAACGCCGGCCCGACCCCTCCCGTTGCCACGGCAGCCGCCGCTGGCGGCGGAAGTGCCT